AACCCACAGATGTGAGAACATCTGTCATTGATGGTTTAGTCTGGTTGCTGGGCTACAGGTAACCGGGTAACAGGATCAAAGGTCCAGCTCTTTGGAGAAAATCTGGCTGCCTCTCAGGCAGACATGGGCAATGTGGAGTCAACAAGTCATCTCCATGTCATGTATTTGTTCTACCCAGCCACTGAAGCAGGTGAGTCCAATCTTCACCGTGAATTAACCTGTGCAGATTGGACTCACCTGGTTAATTGGCTGGGTAGATTAAATACTTGACATGGAGAAGACTTGTTGACTCCACATTGCCCATGTCTGCTCTCAGGACGCCATCTTGGATCCATGAGATCCATGTTCAACTAGAAACCAGTTAGATTTACAAACATCTTTGAGGTCAGCCTAAAACCAGTTAAAACCAGCTTGTTCCAAATGATCTTTCTGGTCCAGGACTTCAGGGTCGGGTACCAGTCCAAAGGCAGCCAGGAACCCGAGTCCACCCAGGCCTCCAGCCTGTCCAACAACACGGACGCCAACAAAGTGTAAGTGCTGAACATGTGTGCTCACCTTCTCCCCTGCGGTTCCAGCTGATACCAGCTCCATTCAGATGGGACCGGTGCGGGTCAATCATCTGGGTTTGTAATCTCTGGTTTCCCTCAGGTCCAAGTCCAACCGCGGGTCGGACTCTGGAGACTCAGACCATAACACCTTCAGCTGTGAGGAAGGTGGCGAGGAGGCGGAGGATGATGAGTATGATGAAGAGTATGTCCCAGAGTGGCACGAGGACTACGATGAAGACGACATCGACGAGGATGACTTCTTTTCTGATGACGACGAGTCCGAGAACTTGGAACGGGACTTCAGCCCGTTTGTCTGAACCGGGTCAGGACAGAAAGATGAAGCCCCGCCCCCTTCATAGCCATGTGATGTCCTCTGAGGACGCCAGATGGCGGACAGTCCACCTGCTGTCCTCCACCACCCCACACCAAACCCCTTCGCTGCACCTGCTTTCACTTTCTGATTCTGTTCTCTTTAGGCCAAAGTTTGGGACAGAACCAGCTCTGACTTCACTTCCTGTTCCTGAAACTTTGTTTCCAACAGTTTTTGTCTGTTTGCAGCCTTCAAAAGGGATTTGAATCAACCGCAATCTGAACCAGTTAAACCAGTTTAACATCTGAAACAGTAGAATGCAGCCAGTCTAAACAGGATTAAATCTAAAACCTGTTTCCTCTTGTATGATCCAGTGAAAACAGATCTATAGGCATTTGGAAGCAGTCTAAACAGACCTGAAACTAGTTTACACCCTGAAACCACTTTCTAAATGGACAAATCTGGTTTAAAACCAGTATAGATGATTGAAACCAGTTTAACTCCAGTCTGAAAATACTTGGACCCATTAAAGAAGTGCGATGCCCATAGAAATCTGTTCTGAACTGATGTGAACCAGACCGGATCCAGTTTCCTCTGGTCTGACTCTGTTCTGCATCGTTCGGTTCTCACTTGTTCTGTTGGACTGGACTTGCCTGGTTCCAGGTTCTTCCCCGGTCCGGTTCTGACGGACGCTGGCACCTTCTCTAACTCCTCCCATCTAGATTCAGAGTTTTGTACGTGTTGGAAGAGCTGGATGTTTCTATGCACAGGAACCTGCTCGGTTCTGTCAGACCAGTTTTTGGCTCGCCGTTCTGGAGTCGGCGTTCCAGCTCCTTATTTTGCTGTAATTTTGAGAGATCATATATTCATATTGTTGAGATTCTATAACGTTTTTCTGTTTTCTTCAGTCAGCAAACGAAATAAAAGCTTTTTCTGCGACGCTGCAGCCGACTGGTTCCCCGGTTCTTCAGAACCTCTCAGGAGGTTCACATGTTCAGAGATGGTTCACCGTGTTCCAGGCCCAGTTGGACCAGAACCAGCACTTTTACTTAGAATAGAACTTTATTCTCATTCCACTGTCACCAGTACAGAATCGACTCTACATTTAACCTTCGGCGGCGCCCAGGGAGCGGCGGGCTGCCAGAATCAAAGTTTTACAAACACTGTAGGAAGGGTGGTCCAGAGGAACCAGGCTCAGCGCCTCCACCCTGGACCGGGTCAGGATTCGACGCCTCCACCCTGGACCGGGTCAGGACTCGACGCCTCCACCGTGGACTGGGTCTGAGCAGTGTTATCTCCCCTATAGGACAGAGGTCCGGTTTGACGAGCCATGTCAGAACCAGGTCCCTCAGAGGTCCAGGTCCCTGGGTTCTCTGTGTTCTGCTCTGTAGGTGAACAGTGCCCCCTGGTGGAAAGAAGCTGGACATTCCTCACAGCAACATGTCCTGGTTCTTCCTGTAGAACTGCAGCAGCTCCTGAGATGAGGACCTGGTTCTGGTTACTGGGGCACAGGTTCTGGTTCTGAGCAGCTGATCCACTCAGTCCTGGTTCTGTTTGTTCTGCTGAAGCATCTCATTAACCTCTTGGTTCTATAAATTAATAAAACTGGTTTAAATTCCTCCTGGTTCCTACAGACTGACGGACCCAGTAGCAGAACTGCGGTTCTGGTTCGGTCCGTTTTATACCAAAGGCAGCTAACATTGATCATTTTTCCAGCAGCTATGATCTTAATCTACTTTAATAAACCAGCATGACCAGAGGAGCCCGTTCTGCTGGATTAAACTAGTTTAGATCTGGGATTCTTCTGGATTATTTCCACAGCTGCAAACATCTCAGTATAACTTTTTCCATATCATCTGGACAGGAGCAGTTAAAACTGGATGGATGCAGTTAAAACTGGCTTCAAACCAGTTAAACCAAAATAAATCATAAAAGCCTCTGAATTAGAAGATCAAGAGCGGGTTGGTTCTGAATCCACACATGATAAAAGCTTTTATTAATTGTTACATTCAGATTTATAGAGATGCTGCAAATAAGAAGACTTTTTTGACTTTTAACAACACTTTATTTACACAATTCAAATATATAAATGTAAAACAAGTATCAGTTAAAAAGAGGAGGAGGAGTTAGGAGTTTCTTCTAATAAAATAAAGGATGATTTACCAGAATGAGAGCAGCTCAGTGGCGCAAGGATATAAGACTACTGAGGCCTGTTTCAGTCCTCCTCCTGTAGGGGGCAGTGTCTTTACCCGATCCCTACCATCAGCTCATTTGCGCATGAGCAACCAAATGTACATCCGGGCTTCCATAAATAATGTAATTATGGTTCTAAAATAACTTATTTCTATCCTTAGCTCACCAAAGGAATGCTTATATACACCTTTAAAAATGTTTATGATTTTTTTCTGAGACATATTGATGCTTTATTTTTCATTTTCTCCATTAATGTGCTTCTCTGACGTCATCATGGGACACGCTCATACCCATAGATATCCATAATTATTATTATTATGGATATCTATGCTCATACCAGTCCGGCAAAATCTGATTAAACCATTTTAGTTTTTTCTTTCTTTAGATTACCAACTATATACCATAATGTTAACAGGAAATGAAAACATAAAACTCAAAAAGACGAGATTTATGTTTAAATCCAAGGTGAAAAAGTTTGCCACCGGAAGTAGCGTAGGATCCATTTCCGGTGCAGATCGGTAACGGATAAAGCAGAAAGGATTTTAATGCGATTTAATTTTTCAGGAAATACATTATGAACATTTAACACATTATAGTGTAGTGCGCTTCCTGTTTTATAGGGAGTGAAAATGTAATTTATGTTGCGCTTGCGCAGTGAGCAGCTGGTATATCTGCGTGTTTTGGTCCGTAGAAGAAGAACCGCGCGGGCATCAGTGGACTGCTAACAGGCTGTGGAACCAGACTGGCGGTTCTGACGGGGATCGGTTCGGTTCGGATGGTTCTCTGCTCACCAGTCTCTCCGTGTTTGTTAGCCTGAAGCTAACGGCGCTGCTAACCTCGGTGTTTCCTGCTCCCTGATGGGCCGAGGACAAGGACCCATGAAGGGGAGGCCCCATGTGGGCCCCCCCGGAGAGGATAGGCCACCATTCAACATGGGCCCGCCAGAATGGGGCCCTCCTCCCCCAAGAGGCTGGGGTCCTCCACCCCCGGGAGGCTGGGGCCCCCCACCCCCGGGAGGCTGGGGCCCCGCACCTCCGGAAGAGTGGGGCCCTCCACATACCGCTGGTTGGGGACCACCACCCCCTGGGGGATGGGGTCTTAGAGGCCCCCCACCTCCAGGCTGGGATCCACAAGCCCCCCCTTATCCAGATTGGGGTCCAAGGGGCCACTTACCTCCTGATTGGGACCCCAGAGGGCCTCCCCCACCAGGTTGGGGGCGCTACCCTGATGACTGGGTCCCTCCTCCAGACTGGGAGCGTCCCCCAAACTGGAGAGGGTGGGGTCCAGAGGGTCCTCCTGAGCCGTGGGCCCCCCCTGGACCTCTCCCCCCTGTCCCTCCACCAGGTGTCCCTCTACCCGGTCCTGTTGGGATGCCTCCTCCGGACCCCGCAGCCGTCCCTCCTGTGCCGCCGCCGGGCTGTGTGCCTCCCTTTGCGTTCCCTCCCTTCCCCGCCCCCGTCTGGACGTCAGAGGTAAGTCGGTTCTGACCCGGTGAGGCGGCTCTGACCCGGTGAGGCGGTTCTGACCCGGTGATGCTGCAGGTCTTGTGTTGTTAAACTGATCCAGTTTGTGTGTGTTCAGCCCGTAGCGGAGGAGCCGATGCCTAACCCGCCTCCTGACCAGCCTGAGTGGGTGAGTCTGGTTCTGATGCGCCGCGCTGCTCTCTGATTGGTGGATGGGTCTCTGAGCGCTGGCTGTGATTGGTCCTCAGATCAAAGCACTCATCTCTGCTCCGCCCGACGACGCGACTTCCGCCGAGATCAAGAAGGACCCGGAGCCGCCGACCCTCACCGCTGCTCCGGACCCTGCCCCCGCTGCCCCCCCCACTCCTGCTGACAGCCCTGCGTCCAGGAAGACGGCCAAAGCCATGGGGCTGCTGGGAAAGCGTAGATTTTCCAAGTGAGTGTGGCGAGGCGGCGCTGCGCTGCGCTGCGGCTCCAGCTGTGAGCAGCTGGTTAATCTGAGCGTCTCTGTGTCCTCAGGCCTCCACCGGGCAGATCCACGGGGATCATCTCTTTCGTCGGGGTGAGGACGCCGTTAGCTCTGCTTGGTTCTCTGATGGGCCGCATCGGGTAACCGTCTCTCTGCTCTACAGCCGACGTTCGGCTACATCGAGAGGGAAGACCTGGAGAAGTTCCAGTTCAACTTCAACGTCTTCTTTGGGAACCCTAAAGCCCTGACGCCCGGCGTCCGAGTCCACTTCACGGCCTGCCAGGAGAAGGTGGGTCTGCTCCGCTTTTCCCCGCCATCATGTCAGAACGGTTCAATGAGACGCCCTGTGGTTCCTGAACAGGGCCACGCCGTAGCCACCGATGTGAAAGTCGCTCCAGGTGGAACCGAAGACGTGGACCCGGAGATCTACGAGGCCGTGGTCAGCCAGGCCATCGAGGAGCCTGAGGTCAGTGCGCCGCTCTTTGCTTCTTTAGCTTTAACATCTAAAGATGGAACCAGAGGAGCCCTGGGGCCTCCCTGCTGGGGCCCCTTCAGCCAGTGATTATTGATCTTTATTGATCTCAGAGTGGATAAATTCCCTATCTGCATTTAACGCCTCCCCCCAGGGAGCAGTGGGGGGTTAAGGGTCTTGCTCAGGGGCCCAGAGTGGAGGCTGTGGAAGTGGGGCTGGAAGTCAGAACCTCGGGATTCTAACCACTAGGCCGCCCCTCCCTCCCATTAATTACTTAAACACAATTTAACAAGCTGAGGAAACGATCGAGGACGGATGGAGAGCAAGATTTAAACTATTTAATTTAACAGGAAGAGAAGCCAGAATAGGAGAGATATGATCTCTGTTCGAAAACCTGGACTGGATCCTTCGAAGTCCTTGAAAATAAGGAGAAAGGAAGAGTTTTGGCTGTGAATTCAAACAGGTCCTCCCTTCAGCGGGTTTTACCGCCGTATGCTCTGTTGCTTAGCAACCGTGACTGTTGACACACAAAGCAGGAAAAGAATGAAAACCGAAGTTTCCAAAACTGTTAATTTATTTATCATTGTAAAGTGAACAAAGACTACATTAACAAGAATCCAGAGTGGAATAAAGGTTCCAACCAGCGGGAGCAGGAACAAATCAAATCAAATCAAATAATAGAAACCTTAGTCAGTTAAATAACCTGCTGCTGTCATTCTGCACATCTCTGATGTTGCTGCTATTTTCAAATATCCATTACTGTAAAAATGTCCATAGCTGCATATTGGTTATTTATTCCACAGTTTTATATTGTTAAAACACTTTACAGGATTTTATTGTTTATATTTTAACTCTTCCCTATTATCTTATTCTTATACATTTTTCTAAGGTCCACATTTGTGTGACCATTTTCAATAATCTTTCTGCTGCTGTAAATTTCCCCATTGTGGGACAATAAAGGGATTTTCTATTCTATACAAGGAGTAGAAATATATAAATAAATCTAAACAATGTTTGTATAAAAAATATATCTGCAAAATCTCTAATATTCAACAACAAAAAATACGTAGTTAAGCATATTGTGCAAAACAGCAATAAAAAGATAAAAATCCTATCAGATTTATAGTTCCCACACTGCAGATATATTAGAATCTGTCCTTAAATTACAGCCAAACCCATTTACACAGTAACAGATAAAAACCTTTAGATAAATCAAACATTACCGCCACATATCTGACTCAATAACCATTAAAACAACTATTTTCATTCATCTCAGGCGGAACTATTCACTGACTGGATTATATTAAACTGAACTTCCAATTTTCACCACTGTTCGGTGCCAAGTAACCTTTCCTTTGATCACGGCTTGCTTGGTCTTGCACTGAATCCTGGGTAAACCAAGGATAGCGAGGATACATCGGACCCGTCCTTCAAATCGGGCAAAAAGAAGGACGCATTTTAAGGCCGCATAAATGGGGTATTAGACGAAGACAATAGTTTTGCTAACTCTTAAAGTTCAACTGGATCAAAGCAGTCTAAACCCGGTTCAGATTCCATGACTACCTCAGATGCTGCCCCCCTTCCAGAGACAAACCAATCGCGGATAGAGGAGCGCTAATGATCTTATTTAATAGAATCAGTCATTCCTGCTAAGAGCAGCTGGAATGGACGGTTCAACAGAGCTATGGCTCTGGGTGAGTTTGGCAACTGGATTAAAAAGAAATCTAGGATTATCATGGGGGAGTAGAACTCTGTTAAAGTAATCCTGAAGGTCCTGCTCCTCTGGGTGCATTAAGTCCAGGGATCTTAGAAGATGTTTTAACTCCTCTTCATCAGCAGGCTGAGCTTCTTCCAGGGATGTTCTCAGCTTTAGACTGGTTTAAGGTTCTGCAGGTTTATCCCAGCAGCAGCTCAGAGGTCGGTTCAAAGACCTCCATCCTGGTTTAGCTTCAGCCGTCTGCCTGACGGAACGTCAGCAGAGATCATGGCTGAGTGTAGATGGGTGTCTCCCTGCAGCCCGGCCAGCGCCAGTACCCCGGCCAGGTGTACGTGACCCTGGGCATGGTGCAGACCAACCTGTCCTTCGAAAGGAAGGACAGCACAGTGACGCTGCTGAAGGGAGACCAGGTGCTCATCAACGTGCTGAATGACATCATCACAGAGAGGCGGCGAGCCACCAACATCAAACCCAAGATCCCCACCACCTTCAGCTCCACCAGAGAGATCAGGGAGAAGGTGAGGCCGTCTGCTAGCTTACAGCCATTTGACTTGTTCCTGGGCTTTAGCTGGGTGTGGTGTCTTCTGCAGGGCGTCATCATGAGTCTAAAAGAAAACGAAGGCGTCATCAAGTCAGAGGAACACGGCGAGCTTCTGTTTGAGCTCAGAGAGAACCTGAGTGACATCGACTTTACGGAGGAGGACGTTAACGAGGAGGTGGAGTTCACTGTCATCATGGTGAGGATGAAAAGAAAAGTGTTTGATGTGCAGACTGAAAATCAAAGTGGTGATTGAACCTTTTGCTCTCTCAGCTGAGGGCGGGGAAACGCGCCATCAGGATCAAACGGGCCAAGGAGCCCCTCCTCCTCACACTCTGTGGCGCCTCGGAGGAAACGGAGAGCGCGGCCACCGCTCAGGATCAGGCCTCTGTTTGCCTTGATCGGCCCAGGCCCGGCGCCAAGCTACAGCTGGAGCCGCACATGGTGCTGGACTCGGAGCTGTACGAGGGCATTGTCAGCCAGACCATCATCGAGCCAAAGGTAGGAGGCCAGAGGGTCCACTGGCTGGAGGCGGATCGGTTCCCTAGGAGACGGTCTGTCCTTCAGGTCCATCAGGACTGGTGTCACAGCGCCACCCGCTGGTGCGGCATTAGAACTACCTCTGGTTACACCTGAAATACAGAGGTAGACTTTAGCTCCTGTAAAGTCAGTGACTGGATGATCTGGATCCATAGAGACACCTGAGCTGACGGGTCTTTAACTCGTGCCGCAGAAATAAACGGAAGTGAATCGTATCTAAACTATTTCTGGATGATAGGAAGAAGATCTAATATCACCATAGATTGAAATCACCTTTA